AATTTGTCATTTAATCCATTTGTAATCTTTCCTCCGTTAACTCCTGCTTAAAGTTTTCTTCTTCCTCTGAGCTTCCAAAGGATAGGTGAACTAACCCATCTGTAACAACAGGAGCAACAGAGTGATCTCATTCCTTGCCCCTTTTATCTTTTTCCAGTTTCGTGCACAATCCTCGTTAATCGGCCTGTTCCTTCCCTGGAAACAAATGCTTTTCTTCAGATGTCGTTCATATCTTATCTGTACACCTCCTTTCCCACAGTTTTCCCATCATCCCTCAGCTCTTCCCTCGGTCCAGTAACTATCAACTGAATCACAAATTGATCCCTCATACTCATCTCTCTCATTTAAACACAGTCTCCATCCATCCTTATTTTCATGTCTTTTTTTTCTCCAATTTCTAATTTAAAAGATGGGGAAAGTCAGAAATCTATACCCCCCGATCCCCCGTGAGACCCTAACCTCGAAGCTTTGAAGTGTGAATTAGTTAACATTACATTTATCTATTTTAAAACACAGTCTCGTCTCTGGAAGACAATAAAAAACACTGAAGCCCCATTTTCCTGAGCATCACTTCCTTTATTGTCTATAATTAGTCATTTATGCCTTGTGACTAAATAAAAGTGGTTTGATTTTACATTTATTATCATTTTAGTGAATCTGGTGAAGTCTAGAGAATCAAAAACAATCTAAGATCATTTATATATTTTTGCCATTTCACAGGAAGCTGCTAATGTGTGTGAATGCTTTCTGGAGCTGCTTCAAAGCAGGGATTATGGCTGTGTGTGTGATTTTATGACTGGAGGTAATTTCTGAGTAGGAGCAAACCAAACTAGTTAGAGGAGGTGAATTAAATTTGCTGGAAGATCTCTGCAAAACAAGACTGATCTGAGCCACTAATGATGCTGACAGGAAACTGGTGTTTGTGAATGAAGACGGGTGGAGGTGGGCTTGCTTTTGAACTGTAAGTTTGAGTGAGCCAGTTACTCAGTCTCACTCACCCAAACACACGCACAAAGATAGAAAAAGGTCCTTTCAAATGTTTAAACTAACGAAACGTTACAGAAAATAAAATAAGGATCTTTAGAATTCCATTACATCCACATTAGTAACCAAACTGTGTTTTAGAAGTAGAACATGAGTCTAATCTGATGTTAGGGATGAAAACAAAAATATTTTGAGGAAAAACTCAAGTGTGCATTTGCATTCTTATGAGGAAATGGGGAGAACAGTTAATTAAAAAAGCAGCCAAGCAGATTCATCAAGTAATTAGATCTGTAGCTTGTGATTGAAATCTTTAAAACAGCATTTGTTCGTGTCCTCGCCTCATTCCCCGAGCCTGTGTGCTGCATGTGACTGGATCTGTGATCGTGCTGCATGTGTGCGTCTGCCTGAAGTCCCAGTAATGAGACCACAGGTAGTTATCTTCCCCCAATGAGTCCCATTTATTTCAGCCATCGACTGAAAGCCAGGTAAAAGAAATGGAGTGCAGAGTTGATTACAGAGAACAGATATGCAGCTATGAGACAAATGTATTGTTAAGTGGAGAGGCAACTGCTGAAGACAGCAGAATAGGGCAAAGTGCACACAGCCAAACGTCCATAGAGTTCTGTAACACATTATTTTAGTACCTGGAAGTTTTTGTTTGTTATATCTCTTATGCTAAACACTAAACAGACACAAACCTCTAAATGCTTGACCCAAAAACTCTTGAGCTGCTTGAGTCTAAGAGTATGTTTAGGCACAACTAATAGTTTTTTTAGGCCCAGTTTTTACTGACAATAAGCCTGTGCACCTGCAGATTTGTCCCTGTGTCTCACTAGTGTGTGGTTAACATGGTGACTAATGAGTCACTTGCAGCAACATTAATATTTCTGTCATGCTTTTGAGAATCAGCACATCTAAACATGGGACCATGGTCTTGAATCAGAAAAGGGTTGAATGCCTTCTCCAGGTCAGGAACGAGGTTCTGCCACAAGTATCTCGGAGTCTTGCTCACGAGCGAGGGAAAGATAGATCAGGAGATTGATGGGCAGATTGGTGCTGGGTCTGCAGTGATGTAGGCGCTGCACCGGTCTGCTGCGGTGAAGAGAACTGAACCGGGAGGCAAAACTCTCGATAATGAACAGCAGATCAGGAGGTAGAATGAGTTGACTTCAGTAATGAAGGTTGCAGGTTTGATCCCGGCTCAGACCAGAGAATGTTGCTGTGGTGTCCTTGGGCAAGACACTTAACCTGCCTTGCCTGCTGTTGGTGATCAGAAGAACTGATGCCAGTGTTCAGTAGGCCTCGCCTCTGTCAGTGCGCCCCAGGGCAGGTGTGGCTACACCAGTGTGTGATTGGGTGAATGACTGATTGTGTTGTGAAATGCCTTGGGGGGCTGTAGAACCCTAAGAAGGTGCTACACAAATACAGGCCATTTACCTATAGTCACGAGCTTTGGGTAGTGACCCAAAAAATTAGATCACGGCTACTGCTATGTGGCCAAAATGTAATTTTTCCGCAGGGCGTCGCTCCCTTATAGATAGGGAGGGACTATACTTCTCAGCTGGCCATGGAACGCCTTGGCATTCCCCTGGAGGAGCTGGCTAAAGTGGCTGGAGAGAGAGACATCTGGACCTCTCTTAGGCAACTGCCCTCGCGACCCGACCGAAGAGAATGGATGGATCTTGCATTCTATGTTGAGTTGCACTGCGTGCGTCAGTTTGTGGCAGCAGACCAGAGGGGGTTGGAGATTTATAACAAAACCCAACCCCTCATGTGAGATGTCGTCATTTTCTGAATTTCACCATCTGTTTGATTGAATCAGCAATATACTGTTTGAGCTACACATGAGAGAATAGGCGGTGGTCCTTTAGTCCTATTAGCCAATAGTTGAAGATTTTTCCTGTAGAAGAGAAGGGAACCAGTCATCTATTGCATCAGCTATGATTTTGAAGAAAAGCCACACGTCATGGTTGATGCTGTAAAGGTTTGAAGCTAATAAAAGGATACTGGTTCCTCATACTAACAGAATTTATGTAGAAAACTTTGAATGAAAGATATGCATCTGAAAAAATTTGGAAGGAAGTTATGGGTATTTTGTGTAGAATTGTTGACAAAAGATTTGTTGTGGAGTAACTTTGTATTAGTTGAACTATTTTTTATTCAAGATAGCAGCATTCTGTCAACAATTATTATTTTTTCCATGTTGCTAAAAACCACAGATTTGACCCAGAATTATTTAATTTACTGCCATCGGTATGTACAACACCAACAGCAATTACTGTGCTTTTGATAAGACAATACATATTTCAAAGTAAGAAAAAACATCACAATGTGAATTTTTTCCCCTATCGTGCAGTCCTAATTGTAACCAATGAGTTTAGACCTTTTACTGTAGGTTAGTGTTACGACATCTTTTGTGGTTTGTTAGGAGTGCTTTTACCCCATTTTGGCTGATCACTTGTATGTTGCTGGCTGGGTGAAAGCCGTAACTCGATGTGGAGCAAAACTCCCCTAGATGTGATCAGGATGTAGTGGTGGCTCGTTGTTTTCTGCAGCATCGAGTAACTTGTTGTGGAGGAGAAACCACTTGGTGTAGCCACTTTCATTTTGAGTTGAATCATCAGTTGCTACCAGATTCTTTTTATGTAGCAACGTTGTTGTGATGGTTTTCTTTGTTTGAGGTTGTTGTATTTTGTCTACGGTACACATTACTTTTATGTTTGTTGTGTTGGTTTGTGTCTTGAATTTGTTTTATGGTGGAATGGTAGTCTTGGTTTTGTGGCTTTATTTCAGTTAGGTCTAGGTTCCTGTTCACTCAGGGGGAGGTCACCAGATCATACGGCCCTACGAGGGCTGGTCTAGTTGGTCTCTCCTTTTTTGTTCATTTTGGCAGGCTCATCACTTTTATTTAGAGTTTAGTTTTTGTTATACTACTTCTATGGTGTGTATGTGTGTATGCATGTTTCCTTCTACCCCTCCTCTGTTTTTGCAGGTTTGAAGGTCAGGCCGGAGGGGCTTGATGTGGTCCTAGTGAGTTCCTAGAGGAATTGACCTGGCTGTATGCAGTCCTTGATTGCACCAAGTGGCTGCACCTGGATGCAGAAGAAGAAGCATGCTTGGTGCAGCTTCAGGGAGATCACCTCGATAGCTCCTGGTTGTGTGGCATTTGGTGAGGCCTTTTAAAGTCTGATTTATATGTATTATATATTTATATGTAAAATAAAAATACTCCTTATGTTGCAATCCAATGAGCCGGGTCAAAACAATTAGATTATAACAAAGGCAGAATTCAAATTGCAATTGAGATTTGATGAAGAATGATGCGTGTTAGAATTTGGGGAATTAGTAGTAGTTTCAAAAGTTCTCCTATCTTAAATAGATTTTTGAATCTCTTAACATGACATGTAAAAGTACTTCACGTTTGTTCTAGTTTCCACATTTGCAGCTTTTAAATCCACCATCCTCTCAAAATGTGCATTGCTGCCTTTTTTAACCTCCAGCAGGGAGACAAAGAGACACTGTGTGATACTGGAGATGGTCCGACTGATTCACGGCCCCATGCGGGCCTTCTAGGCCGGCAAATTGACATGCATCACCATAGCAGCCCCTTAGAGAGCCTTTGGTGCAATTCGTGGCAGACCTGACTCCTGATCAGTCCATGGCGGTCATTTCCTGTGGTGGTGTGGGTGTCGAGGTCCAAGTAAGGGGCCTGGGTGAGTCAGGGATGATGGTAGGCCTGGTGTAATTTATCAGTGCTGGCTGGAAGCTCTTCAGCTGTTCAGCATGGGTTGCACACTGCTCCATTATTCATTGGATAGATGACTGGCTGAGGCAGGATGCAGAGCCAAAAGGGTGTGTGTGTGTGCGTGTGTGTTGTGACAAAGGGTGATTGCAGAATAAAAACAGGAGGTGATTCTAATATAAATGTAAAAGAACCAAAAAGTTTCTTTACGTCTTTTGCTGTGTCACATCCTGCAGCTGTACATAAACCAACGTTGGCTGCAGGTCAAACCCACCTTGACGTGTTTTCCAACATGCTGCGGACCTCGCTCATCTGCTCCTTCCCAAAATAAACCACTGTCAGATGTACCCGGCCATCCTGACGCACAGACACTTCCCTGCACACACACAAAGAATGGGATGTTAGGGATGAAGGTGCTTTAAAACTGAGAAAAGGAAGTGAAGGAAGGAAGAGAACCAAGATTGCACAAACCGTTTTGAAGGTTTTAAGATTGTAGCGTGGAAACTGTTGTTCTAAAATAGGCTAAGGACAAGAAACAATCTCAGCAATCTCTCTCAAAATTTAGATAAATTCATGATCAAATTTGTGATAAGTCAATTTAATCAACTAGATGAGAGGCAGGAAACTGGAGAGGACACAAAGTTAACCAGCTGGAGGAAGATTTTTATTTCTTGGTTCTTTTTAAACACAGAAAAGAAAAGTTGTTCTATACCTTGTTTACTAATGTCAAAAGGTAAAGGTAACGTAAAGGTAAAGAATAACTTCTTTTCTGTGTTTAAAAAGAACAATGAAATGAAAGTTGAAAAGATACACAAAATGAACGTACAAAAGATGTTTAATGGAGGAAGATTTGTTGACAAAAGAGTCGCTATGTTGTTAAGTTGATCAAAGTTTGAATTTTGTCAAATGGACGAGGAACCAGAGTTCCCACATGAGAACCTGATGAAGCACTTGTACTATTTCATTATTTCAAACAATAGAGTTGTGTGTGTGATACGGTCAGAGCCTCTCCCTGTGGTAATAAAAACAGAACAAATTGTTGTCAGATACTGCTGATCTAAATTTGGTGATCTCATGGCAGTGTTTCTGCGTTTTCCATGGAAAAATGTGTGAAATGAGTCTGGATAACAAAAAAGATTTTTAGTCAGTCACAGCCTAGTAGACCTTAGTATTTTTTTAAACAGTCAGGTTTTCCAAGATGATGCTTCCTGGAGCATCTCCCACAACACAAACAGAAGGAGTCGTCCACACGGTCAAGCTGCTCCGGCAGCAGCGTTCTGATCCAGATGGGACTGATTATTCTTTCAATATGGCCGACACAATTTGGAGGTGTGTTTTAGGTCTTTGGGCATGACATCTGGTGGTGGAGCAGGTGGTAACTGTGTATGGCAGCTTCACCTTTGTAAGTGTTCCCTAGGGCAGCTGTAGCTCCAATGTAGCTCATCACCATCCGTGTGTGAATGTGTCTGAGATGGTCTGAATGATTCACTGTAGTTTAAAGCACTTTGGAGTCCTCCGACTCAGGGAGGTGCTATACAAGTGCATGTCATTTATCACCACCATGTAGACATGAAACCGGTTCCGTCAAGTGCTTTTCATGGTTTAAGTCTTTGCTATTGTCTTCCTTCATTAAGGTCCTTTCCACTTTTTTCCCTATTTTACCACCTCCAGTGGCCATGATAAAAGGCCTCTATGCAACAATGTTAATATTTCTTTAAAAATCAATTTACTGAATGTACTTGTGTGTAAAATAGAAAAAAACCTTTTGTAAAATTGCATAAAAATATGTTTTTCTTCAGAAAACAAAGACATTTAGTGACCTCCAAAGCCTCTTTTAGTGCCGCAGTGTTGAGGCGGCATCAGGGAGTCTTTTGTCATTCATAAGTGGTCAGACCGTGGTGGTAATGTGGCGTAATCGTGTCCTTCTTACGGTGGCATAAAGGGGGTATAAAGAGAGGCATTCAAGGGGGTCTCTGCGCTGCTGCGGACTTCCGTTTTTCTTGAACGTAACTTGCTTTTTATTGCTATTGAAGCCACACTCATTAGGACTTTTTAACAAGCCACTCGTAAAGGTGTCTGTCCCCCACACAAAGTACCCAACGTGATCTACCGACTGCAAATCATAAATAGCAAAATGCCGAAGTCACGGCAGAGAGGTGTAATCACCGGAGTACGATTAGGAGCTCCACTGAGGCGACACACGTCAGACACGAATAAAAGACTGCAAGTACTTGAACATATGCAGAAATGAATAATCGCTTGTTAGTTATTTTCTTTGGTTGGCGCCACTTTGAGAACTTTACTGTGGCTGTGCGCAGATCAGCAAGAAGCATCTGGAGCGCATGAATAATCAGCACTCTCCAAACTTGAGAAGATGCTGAAGCAAGCGCGAGAGAGGCGCACAGACTTGGAAAAAAGGGTAGATTAACTCCACATCTGAAATGAAGTATTTCAATTGATCATCTCAGTGGTGTGTGAGTTGTGCTTGATAGCTGAGTCAGTTACTGTATGATGAATGTCTCTGATGTTTCCTGTTAGACCTCTTTTATTCCCTTTCCTTGAGCTGCTCACATGGGCCTCTAGTGGGTGTGGGCCTCTGGGCCTGTGCCCGTAAGGCCCATTGGATAATCAGGCTTTGCCACATTCTCTGTGCCATCTCTGATGAGCTTAGCTCCACCCAGAGAGAAGCTCGTGGAGCTCTGCATCGCTCCCGTTTATCGTCTCAGCTGGTTTTGTTAAAGCAAAACGTACAGCCCATGTTTACTTTCATTTTTAATAATATAGCCAGCCGGAGTTCAGCAGTACCTCCCCACATGATCATGACACCTCCCTCTGTTGGGCCAAGGCATAGTATGCATTCACAAGTCCAGCGTTGCAGCAATATTACTACCCAGCTCCCACAACGAATGCCGCTAAATTTCAGCAACACAGTGCTGCCACGGCACGTTCATAAGACACACCATGGCGGCAGTAATACGCTGATTTGCCAGCGTGGTGTGTCTTCTAAAAGGGGCTTTCTTCTGTGGCTCAACTGCTTTGTCAAAATAAGTCTGTCAAAACTGCAAATTCTTTTAAAAGTAGCTGAGCAAAAACAAAACAACATGTTTTTGCTTTAATTACGTTTATAGAAAAAATATATATATTCCAACACTTATATAAAATCTACACGGAATAATTACTTAATAGATTAAAAAAATCAATTAATCCTTAAAAAAAGAGTAAAAATGTTCTATTAAAAATTCACTAAATTTACAGGGCTTGTCTACTCTATTTTATTCCAAATATTTAAGCATCCTAATAAAAATGATTCATTGTACTAACTCCCCCTTAAACGCCCAGAATAACTCTCCTACTGCCCCTTTAAAGTTGGCAGGAGGAAAATGTTTACTCAGCATCTCACCAAGTCTTTCAAGTAAGTACATTTGAGCCCAGCTGTATATCAACCACTGCAGGACTGCCCAGAGGGGGGCATTTTAATGTGCTGCAACAAGTCCACTAAGCATGTAAAAAGAGCTGTGATAAGCAGCAGTGGCGGCGCGATAAATCACATTAAAGAGGACATTTTCTCTACTGAACGTGGCAAAATGCACAGCTGAAACAAGCCTGTTTGGCTGGTAGCTGATAAGATGTGATGGTTTGTGGGATATAAAACATGTTTCTATACAAACGTTGGCTTGCACAGTTGCACTGACTGAGATTTGGACCTTTTAACCAATTTGTGGATTAAAAGAAGTCTTTCATGACTTTGTTTTGCATGTATAAACATAATCCAATCCAATCCAATCCAATTTTATTTATAAAGCGCATTCACAAGGCATTACAACCAAACAAGGCGCTGTACACTAAAAATGTTGGTTAATTAAACAGGCGTTATATAAACATGTCGAACACAGATAAAAGATAAAAAGGAAATACAACAAAATTCCCAAAAATAACAGCTAAAAATCAATAAGACACAGGGTGAAGTAAAAATAGGAAAAAAACATTTTACAAAGAACCTCAATAATACAGAAGTCGATAATTGTGGAGTCAGTTTATAAACAGTGCAGATGTCAGTGAGGTTCATAATTATGTTGTATAAGCTAGGTTGAAGTAGTGAGTTTTCAGGCGTGATTTAAAAATGCTAGCTGTGCACAATGTGCATAATGCACATTTAGGATGCGTGTGGTCTTATTGAACAAAAAATATATATAATGATGGAACTTGTCTTGATGGATTCTTGCATTTTGTGAGCAAAACCATTAATATTACTCTGCCATCAAGGACTAAAAACCACAAATACAGTTTTAAAAGTTAACCATACTTTGCCAGGTATGAAATATTTCAACACATTCTCACACCCTAAGCGTCGGAAACAAACGCTTGGTCAGCCACCCTCCACGTCAGACCCCAGACGCCAAAAGTGCCCATTTTCATTACTTATGTGCGAAAAGGGGTTTTCCCCTTTTGTAGCTGCAGATCCCAATGCAGCGTAAAACTGACGTGATTAGATATCCGCTGATGCGGCACCGAACCAGCTCATTTAACCGCACCTAAACCTTAACGTTTCACTATTTATAACCTTCCCCTCTCCCTCATCCTAACCTTAACCCTCTTGCTACCTAAAACGTTACTCTCACTGCGATCAAGCGTTTGTTTCCCCTGCATTCTGACTCTGACAGTCAGAGTCTGACTGTGAATTTTCGTATTTGCCGCCCAAGGGGAACGTTAGAACATACCATCTGGCGAGGGGGAGGTTACACATACCCTCTACTTTTAACCTCCACCGTGGTAGTTGAAACCTCCCCCTCGCGTTGGCTCGGTCCAAACTCGACCAATCACGAGGCGGCTCCCGCCGTTCACTTCATAGAGCCGGCTTTTAGAGCGATCGACACATCACCAACGTGTTCGCTAGCAAGATTGTTAAGGTTAGGATAGGGGTGAGGGGAAGGTTAAATAAGAGGATAAGGTTAAATAAGAGGATAAGGTTAAGGTGAGGTACAATGAGCTTGTTTGGTGCCAGTGTAACGCTGCATTGGGATGCAACGGTAGTGGACATCCCATCGCTTCAGTTTTACGCTGCATTGGGATCTGCAGTCAAATAAGGGAAAAACCCCTTTTCGCACATAAGTAACGAAAAAGGGCACTTTTGGCGTCAGGGGTCTGACGTGGAGGGTGGCTGACCAAGCGTTTGTTTTTGACGCGCTGGGAGTGAGAACGTGTTGAATATTTGCATAATTTGCCTCTAATGTCTCACATTTTTCTACTTTACTCAATAAAAAGAGTTATAAGTGGTTCATAACGTTTGTTGCAGATAATCGAGTTTGTCAAGACAACTTTACATACCTGAAGTTATGCATGAAATGTCTGAACTTCTCTGTTCGCCTGGACAGTGGGACAATGATGTTAATCAGGACGTCCGCCGTGTCCATCTTCTCACTTTTCACCTTCAACAGAGGTCCGAAGGGACGGAAGAGGACCAGGCGCCTGAATTCATGAGTTGAGTCTCCTCTGAAGGTCAGCTCGTACAGCGTCCCTTTGTCCCTCTCCGTACGAGTGATACCTGGCAGGTAAAACATGCAGACCTCAGCTAACCCAACATTTACCCTTTTATGATTAACAAAGAAACAAAGTGGACGTTTGCAAATTGTCAATAATTATTTCTTAATCAAAATTTTTATAACTTTAGGAATAAAGAGTAATACCTAGCCTCTTACAGAAATGTTGGTCTATATTATAACACTTAACCATGGACAAAAATATAAAATAATGCATTTTTTCAGTTTTCAAAAATCGGATTTAGTCATTTTATTTTCCTGTACTTTTCCTTTTCTTTGTCCTTGATCCAGCCCTGCAGGGTGCTTGGGTTTGTTATTATGGTATCAGGGTTTTCTCACTTTTATGCTGCTGTCCTTTAGTTTATTACCAGTCTTTGTTTTCATTAGTTACCTTTGCCTCTGCTCTCCTCACACCCACGGGTGTTGCTACAGAAATAAAAACCGAGTTGTGCAGCAATGCTGGTTATCAGCTCTGTAAACACAGGTCTTCTGACTATGGACTGTGAAGAAAGAGAAACAACTTTGTAAGCTCCTCAGTATTATCACTATGAGCAGTTTTAACTTTTGTCATATGTGTTTCTTTGAATGTGCTGTTGATGCAAGATGGAGTTTTAAACCTGATTCTTTATCTAGACACCAAAATGTTTCAGAAATGGCATTCATTTTGGGACACTTTCAAGTGTAACAGTTCCAAATAAAATGTTCCCATTGTAGGTCACTTCTTAACTGGCCTTAAATCTTAAAATAAAGTTGTTTACATTCTTCTGGGCTGATGACTTAATGGCTAGCAAAGTGGATTGCTGCCATCTTTAAACAGCTTGTAAATCCAAAGGATCATCACAGTTTATGTGAACGTATTTTATAAACCTTTACAACATCCATTAGCATATCATTTTTGTAGCAGTTTAAAAGCGTAAATATTAGCAGCAGCAAACTACTGTACAGCACTTTTGATTCTTCCAGAGATCAAGTCTGAACAGCGGTGGTCATGAAAACGCGTCACACATTACTGGCATATTCTAATATTTTCTGACAAAAATGTATAAATTCTTAGATATTTTGACCCATGCTTCTCGTCTAAACTTGCAAAAATTTTGCAATGAAAGAATTCTTGAAAAACAAAAACTTCAGATCGTCTTGTCACTGTCTCTTTTATTCATTGATACATATTTGATTGCCATTGATTGGTTGCCTGTCGGGCCACATTCTTTCCAGCATTTTGATTGGTCTACACATTGGAAGCATTAAGGGTTCTATTTGTTTGTTAATGGGTGAATGACTGATTGTGTCATGAAGCTCCTTGGGGGGTTGTAAAACCCTAAGAAGGTGCTATACAAATACAGGCCATTAACTATTTTACCAAGTAATCCATGTCCTGACGGAGTGGGCGGAGCAACTGTAATCTGATACTGCCTGCTAACAAAAGTTGTATAAAAGTTTACTGCATCAATAAAATAGTAACAGTGTTAAATGGTCACTACAATACATGATTAAATAGATACAAATCTGCAGCACAGGAGGACATTGTCCAACCTGTTTCAATGACATCCATCCTGAGACACTCCCACGTCTACCGAATTGTCAGGCTTAGCTCAAAACGTTTCATTAACACTGGAAAGGGCACCGTTTTTTCTGCTAACTCATGCTTGTGCTATAAAACTGGGTTGTAAAGGTTAATTAAATCACATTACATTCAAATTCATGAGATTGGAGCTGTTTTTAAAATGATAGAAATCGGTTTTGGATTTGAGTTCATTCAAATTAGCCGTTAGCTCACCAGTGCTAAAAGACCTAAACTCTCTGTATAGAGGCTGTTCTGCTAGCCTGTACCCTCATATGAGGTATTAGAAATTACTAACAGTTAAACATATAGTCATACATATACCCTAAGAATGAAACTAACAGCATATCTTGATAGCCTCTAATCCTGCTTCTCTATTCAGCACCTCATCTCACTAACAGAACATTCACAGTGAAGTCAGAAACCTTCTCTTCAGACACTGCCTCTCTAACATGCGGGGTTCCACAAGGTTCAGTTCTAGGGCCTCTACTATTCGCATTCTATATTCTTCCCCTAGCTGGCATCATTCAATCTTTCCCAGACATCTACCACATCTACGCTGACGATATACAGCTCTATATGTCCTTCAAGCCACACCAGTTGGACAGGCTGGCCACACTTGTACTCTGCCTGACCCAGATCAGTAAGTGGCTGTCCAGCAACTTTCTTGTCCTCAATGCTAACAAGACAGAGACTCTGATCGCTGCACCCCCGGAACTTCAACCAAAAATCGAGCAGGAAATTGCCTCTTTTTGCCCATCAGCCAAGGCCAACATTAGAAACCTGGGAGTTACTTTTGATCCGGTTTTAAGTTTAGACTCACACGTCAAAACCATCTCCCGCTCTTGTTTCTTTCAACTGAGAAACATTTCAAAAGTCTGTAAACTGGTTTCTACTGCAGATCTGGAAAAAATCATCCATGCCTTTGTGTCATCACGCTTAGACTACTGTAATGCTCTTTTTACTGGTCTCAGCAAAACCTCCCTCTCATGCCTTCAAGCCATCCAAAATGCAGCAGCCAGACTCCTAACCAAATCCAGCAGACGAGCTCACATCATCCCAGTTTTACAGTCCCTCCACTGGCTCCCGGTAGAATATAGAATACAGTTTAAAGTTTTAGTCCTGACCTATAGAGCTCTTAACAACCAGGCTCCAAGCTATTTATCTGAGCTTTTATCCCCACACACCACTTCACGGAACCTCCGATCCACATCTGAAAACCTCCTGGCTGTTCCTCGAACCAGACTGAAAACCAAAGGGGACAGGGCCTTTCAGACTATTGCCCCCAGACTTTGGAACAGTCTACCTTCAAATCTCCGTCTCTTGAAATCTGTAGAGGTCTTCAAAAACATCTTAAAACTCACCTTTTCATCCAGGCTTTCCCCCGCTAAATATTCTAAAAGATGGCTTTGTTCTTGTTCACACCGTGACTTTGTTTTTACTCCTGATTTTGGTTACTATTGTTGTCACTGTTATTGTTTTTATGATCTGTTTTTATTGGTTTGAGGTATTTGCCCTGATTTTACTCATGTTGTACAGTGCTTTGTGATTTATATCTGTGAAAGGTGCTATATAAATAAACTTTACTTACTTACTTTACTTACTCATCTGCCATTATCACTCCTACCAGGGTTGCCCTATTCCTGCTCCTCGTCCTTATTTAAGTTCTGCACTCTCCCATGTAGTCTTGTGTTCATTTTGCTGCAGCACTCAGCAAGTTTGCTCATTAGACTTCCTGCATTTGTGGCAGCAGCTTTTGGATTAGTTTGAAAAATAAATGTGTTTCCCTCCAGTTATCCGTTTCTGGAACATTGCCTGGATTTGTGAGTCCCTTGCTGCAAACACCAGCACATGAAAAACAAGAGAAATGTTCCATGTTTTCTCTTTTATCGTCCAACATTAAAAATGAGCCATAAAGGAACAATTTTATTTACCTATCACTACAGCCATTGTTGAATCTTTTAGTTTCTAATCTTCTGTGACATACTGCTGGTATTTTTAATAGGTGGCCTATATTTGATATACTGCCTTTTAGAGTCCTAGAACCGCCCAAGGCACCTTACAACACAGTCATTTAACCATGCACACACGCATTCACACCCTGGTGGTGATGAGCTACATTGCAGCCACAGCTACCATACTGACAGAGGTGAGACCGCTGAGCACTGGTGCCACCGGTCCCTCTGACCACCCCCCAGTGTGGGTTCCATGTCTTGCCTAAGGAGACAACAACGGCATTCTCTGCCAGGAGCCGGGATTGATCCTGCAACCCTCTGATTCCTGGACAACTCGCTCTCCCTCGTGAGCAGCTCAGGAGGGAAAAGAAAAAACAGCAAGATATTCTTCTCTGTGCATTCTGATGTTTTTGGGACAGGGTCCAAAACAGCATGCAACATCACACTCGCAGACACGGAGGCTATTTTAGTCATCTGGACTAAAATACGTCAGCTTCCTCCCCAAGAGAAACGCTGTTTTCCCTTTTCCCAGCCATTACTAAGACTTTTTACTTGCTGGATGACCCTGTGAGGTTGCTGTACAAAGATGGAAAAGTATTGATGCAGGATGTGAGAAGAGAAACCAGACTAGACACAAGAGGGAGGAGGAGGAGGAGGAAGAGGAAGAAAAAAGGGAATGGAAGTATATGATCTTCACAATAAGGCTGGAGCAAGTATTGCAGCAGACAGAGGAAGATCAAGATGAGAGAAACAGAAGGTTTTCTGTGGACAACGATTGACAGCCTGATAGCAGCTCAAATTAAAAGCCATATTGTCACAATGAAAAGCTTCCTGCCTCGGTTCCCAAGAGGAAACGATGAGCTTTCATTTAGGAGATTTGTTGAACAGTTTAGATTTAATGCCTTCACTTCCTGTCTCTGTCCTGTCTGATGACATCTCAGCAGCTGAAGAGCTCATTCTGGTTCAGCAAAGTTCAGTTTAACAGTTTGTTTCCTCCTAAAAACGCCTCCATCAGTTTCTCGAGTTCGGACAAGTTATATTTACCTATGCTCACTCAAGGTTTTATAAAAAAATTACATCCATTAAAGAGCGAGTAACACCCACATCAACATTGACGGTACAGATGAGTGTCTAATAGTGCTGTAGACGTGTGTAGTAATTATTTGGGCAGTTTAGTGCAACTTACTCAAACTTTTATATATTTCAGCCCAAAACCATCATTAAATCTCCATCTTCAGGTTGAAACTCAGCTCCACATTGATTTAAAATCAGCCATAGGTGCAGGGTGACATCGGTACCGTACTGCGTGGCTGTACTGCACTAGACTCCAGCTGAGTTTCGGCCACACCTCCAGCTGGCTCGGCCACTCACCTGCCGATATGAAACGCTACGGCTTGGAACTGCTCACCTCCTTAAAAAAACCTCCTCCCTCCCTTTTCTGCTAGTGAATGCAGTGGACAAGAAATCCTCCAGCTAACAGCAGTTTCAGTGTTTGCTCCTTCCCCTCAGTAGTCTAGTGTGTGTGAGTGTGTGTGTGTGTGTGTGTGTGTGTGTGTGTGTGTGTGTGTGTGTGTGTGTGTGTGTGTGTGTGTGTGTGTTCACTTGTAAATGGCTCGTTTTTCTGACTGAGAAACTCAGATAACGTGAGGTGGGATGAGGGGTGTTGAGTGGAGTGCTGTCATCCACTGTCTCAGCCTGCCAGGCAACACCTCTTTCAGACACATTTTTCTAACAGGAAGTGTGGGTGAAATAAGTCTCCACCCAAGGTGTGGCTCGCTTTTTAAAGTAGCTTTCCGGAGTTTTCCCCTTTCAGAAATTATGTATTATTTTTCAGAAATCCGTGAAAGTGATTATCTTATCATGTGATATAATGTAAGCAATGTGTCTTTATATGCCCCCCGCCCCACAGAGCTCCGTGCAATAGGAAACTGAGCGCCGACCAGAACTAACCAATGATGTTAGACTACCGCTTACATGCCTCAAATATAAGGAACGACTGATGCAGAGTTGATGAACTTTTCACGGACAAGCAAGTCTCTAAAATATAAATATATGAAAACACAACATGACATGAGAATTATACTTGTAAAACGACGTGTTTTAGCTCTGTTTGTCGGCTACAGAAGCACATCAATAAAGCAAGAAACGTGAAGTTGCCATCTTAGAAAAACAGAGCGAGAGACTATTATAGCAAATCTGCAAACAAGCACAGTCACAGACCCCCGCCACCCCCCCCACCCCACCGGTATTTTTACTGGTTTTGCCTCCACCGGAACCAAAAACCCGCATTGCCATAGGAAATAAGAGAGCGCTAAACACCAGTTGTCATTTTATACGTGTTTTTCTTTTTGGAACTGTGATAGTTTGTCCTAAAGTTGAAGTGGTAGCAGCTGGCTGTTTCTCCTTCTCTGATGTTATTGAGTGACAAATCTCTCACCAGTGGTGCGCTGTTGCAAAATGTGCGCGTGTAATGAATATGTAATGAATTGAGGACTCCAATGGTTGCTTTCAGTCACACACACACACACACACACACACACACACACACACACACACACACACACACACACACACACGCGTGTGTGGATTTATTGGATCATAAACACACATTTAATATTATTATAATATTCTTAGTGCACAGAAAGCTCCACACATGTTAACTTATGGTGAATTTTTGTCCTAGCAAGGTGCTCCTATACCTAGACACTGACCTTCAAAGAACACACACACACACACACACACACACACACCCACACACACACACGCGCGCTCACGAACAAGGAGCAGCTGTGTTCATTTCCGGAGGTTTTGATCAGAGCTGAGGGGGATATCCTGGCAGTAGTTGCATACAAACAGACTTTTGGACCCTCCAGGGATGAACTGTGATTACAGAAGCACAACAAAAAAGCACAAAGCTGGCACCAGTCTGCTACCAAGATGTGTACTGGGTGATCAGATCACAAACAATGGACAGACCCTCAAGTACACTTGTAGGATGGCTGATGACGCACTCAGTCTAAATCACTCTCAGGCTGTGCTGCAACACTCCTCATCTCTTTAATACTAGTGAATACCAGTGTGCATGCAGCAGAGATGTTTTGTAACTGTTTTGACTTTTCTAATAAAACAATTTTTGCAAAAAGCAGCATCCAAACTCGTAGAAATCATCACACCTGATGATCGTCTGTGATCATACCTGCAGCAGCGACAGCAAACAAAGCAGATGAGAGAGTTCAGCCACCACTTCTGGCATCCCTTTTCTGAGCAGAATTAATAAACCACCCAAGATTATCCCATTTTTCATTCTTATTGAATGCTGAAGATGAAAGCTTGATAAGAATAGAAGGGTCACAGTACTGAAAGATAATTTAAAATCTTTAAGTTGAGTTATTTTGGGATTTGTTGAGCTAATCAACACAACACATGTTTTATTGACACATAAATGTTCTGTTTTTGGGAGCAAATTTTATTTTATAGAGTTTATTCCCAAAAATCGGTTCAGAATAAAACCTGAAGAGAAAATGAGGTCAGTTTGCAAGTCTTTAGTTAGAAATAAAGTAAGCTGAAAAGCTTCTACAACATCCAATAATGTTTTGAAAAGCCTTTTATCTTCTTTTATGTGACATCTGCTATACAAGCCAAGAGTTTATTTGATTTTATACATGAAATACTTTTTAAGAGACCACAGGCTGAGATATGGGACTCCCAGAGGAGCAGGAAAGGGCTATAAGAGAAAAAAATGATAGGAGGAAAGTGAAAACCAAGTTGAATACTGCATTATTTGTAAGTTTGACATTTATTTTGAAACTATTGAAAATGATGTCCACATTTAAACTAATGCACTGATGACATCATATTGCCACTTCTAACAACACAAGATGCTTTGATTTTCAGAAGTGCCCTAAAAGTGATCTGTGATGTTGGGGTAGTTTGATGATTTGTTATATTTCCAACAGACTTTAAATGTCTCGTTCACCTTTTTTGTTTTTCAACAAATCTGCTGTGATCTCTTGTATGAATGGATCCCTTGTGAGCCATTTTCTGTAGAAAAAAGCTCTGGTGCTTTCGAGTCAGGGTGTAGCAGTAAGTCAGGGGAGTTGGAGACAGGAAAAGATAGTGTGGCAAGGTGTAGAAACGAGGGCCTGGGCAGGATTCGATCCCAAGACTCCCAGGTGAGAGTCACGCGCGCTAACCAGTCAGCCAAAGGGACATCCCCTTGGTCAAGTAGCCAGGGCGCATAACCAATCGGGACACTGTGACAGGACGATCGCACTGCCACATCAGGATTATAAGTTTTGCTCGTTAATATTCATGATATGCAAACGTCTCATCTCTGATTGGCTAAGCTGCCCTTGTTCGCTCTTCATTCTTTGATATAAAATGTAACATTGATGTTTTATCTCCACAAATAACACAAGCTCCAGTGTGTTTCGCCATGTTGTGCTAACAGCTTGTACTAGCTGAGGCACTCTGCTCTGGTCACAGGTCAAGGTGGGTCAGAAGAGACTGGCTTCTCCTGACCGATTATTTTCCTACCTGTTTCCTGTGGCTAATGCAGGTGAATGGGGTTAAAGTAAATGTTTACTCTCAGCCTGCATTTGAAACTCAGTGTAAAAAGAACAAGTGCAGTTGGAATCTCCGTGTCTGTTTATTTGGGCTGCATCTCCATCATAATCCCTGTTTGTTCATTACAGAATCCATTTTTGAGATAAGCTACATATAAATGTGTTTTCTAGAAAACTGAGAAGAGATGTTCTTACCTTCTAGGAAGTCAGAAGGGGTGTAGACTTTGCTCGTCTGAGTTTTCTGCACCACCTCCCTGTTGTCCTGCTGAGATGAGGGGGTGTTGAGACTGTGCAGAGCCACCTCCAGCACCTCTCCCAGCTCATCTCTCTTGTCCTTCCTCACTGGTTTCTCTTCAGGATGACGTGTAAGGCCCATTTCTAGTTGGTACACCCTCTGCAAGGTGAAGCTTTCAAAAGGCACCACAGCATACTCACTGGGTAACCTTGTGCCAGCCGTCACCTCAGCCTTTAACAGTTGACCTCTCAGGAACTCTTGGAGGTCAGACTGTTGGCTCTTGACACCCTGAACTTCTCCAAAACCGTGTGATTCAGCACCTCCTTCCTGGCCATCTCCTGGCACTCTAGGATCTATTTTCAGACTCTCTTGTACTCTTTTCAGCTGCTGGCTGCGTTCCTGCAAATCTTCCTTCAGCTGAGCAATCTGCTTCTTCAAGGAGGAGATGTAGAGGCGATGCTGCTCCTCACGCTCTTGGAGCAGCATCTGGTAAGTGTGAACCGCTGGTGGACCCCCACTTTGAGCAGCAGCTTGGGCTCCTCCTGTCCCAGCAGGCCCTGCTGCGAGGACTGCACCTCCAAGGTTCTGGTGGTTGGACTCGGCGTGCGGAAGCACATGACTCAGTGGAGTGTTGCTGGAATGTGGAGGACTGCACGTCATTAGATAAAGAAGTGATAGTGAGCAGCAGAGAAACACCAGCATGCCCCCAACCCGGGACACCCACGTTAGCAGTCCACGCCTCAACATTGCAGCATGAAGCATCAAAACTGCAGAAAAATCATGTGACCTCACTCACTCCACTAGCAATCACAGCAGTCCACTTTCGATCCTGTTCCATCACCCAGTGAGGAGGTGGTCGGCTTATCAGCGTGAGGTCATTTGTCCTGAGTTAGGTCATCGCCGCTTGACTGCCTGTTTCTAAAAATTGTTTAGTCATTAGCAAAAAAAATAAAATTAGTCAAAACTCTTAAAAAAAACTTCTTTCTTTCGTTGGTTCACTTAGTTTCATGGTCTGCTGAAGGACTTGTTTCCAGACATCATTACATCATGGGTCACTCATATGTGACTCATCTGTGTGCCTGTGCTCCGACCCCGTTGGTGAGTCCGCATCGTCGTCTTCCCGTCTGCCTGGCTGCAACTAGGAATGGTAGAGCATTCCGGCACATACGCCCGGGCGAAGCTGGCTCATGCATAGAGGAAAGAAAGTAACGAGTGAGTGGGAAACCAATTCCTCTGTGGTTAGTGGTGGGTTTTCATGTTTCCTGATGGAGGAGACAGAAAGCAGAAAAGAAACATGGGAGATTTCTCATTAGGAACACAATTATACAGTCATTCATCACAGCTAGAGGCCGAGAGTGCAACAAATCAGAACCATCTTTATCCACTCTGACATGTTGGTTTTAGCATGGTGAGGAGTCGGATTGTGTTGGCCAAGAGGAATTCTCTCTGAACTACAGCTTCAGGAAAACAATGCTGCTGTTCTATTAAGAGGCTGTGTGTGTGTGTGTGTGTGTGTGTGTGTGTGTGTGTGTGTGTGTGTGTGTGTGTGTTGAATGAATATGTTCAGATGCATTTCCCTACCGGCAACTACTTTCGTGGGCTTTAAAGGTGTGGTTCACAGAAAAAAAAGTATTATTTCTGATTATAATCAGTCACTCTGAGTGTTTCATGCAGGCTGAACATGAAAATAGTCTCCTACACCTAACTCCTGCATCAGCTTCTGATAGAAAATAGACAGTGAAACTCTAGGATTTGAAAAGTCTGACAGCGTGACATCACACTGTCACGTAACATTAGGTTACGTAGGGAGGTAGGGATGTACGTAGTTAACCGGTTAATGTTTTAACCGGGTAAACTAGTTTCTCCCGATTAACTGCTTCAAGTCCTTCTGCTGCTGGTATTGGTTGGTTTTTGGTTAACCAGCTATTAAAGGGGCATCAATAGCCAGTTAAAGACATTTTGGTAAACGTGCATCCCTAATTGATGGACTCACCCATCTTGACTCACGATGGGGAAGGTTGTTGTTGGTTTAGCGTTCAGAAAACAGCAGAGAATGTTGTGTTATTTGTGGAGATAAAACATTAATGTAGGCGAAGTCAGTGGTAGAGTTTGCATTGCTGTTTGCAAATCAGAGGTTCTCAAATCAGTTAGCAAGACTCCAAATCCTGCAGTCTGAAACTCTTCTCTGATCTGGCAACCTTCTAGATCCTGAAATGGGTGCACCGGGGCTTTTTATACTCAGAATAAAACTCACAAGGCATTCATTTCTACTAGTAAGTGTATTGACTAAACAAGTGAACCACACCTTTAATAAAAGCTGAATGTTGTGGCATAATGTTTGTCTCTTCTATACATAATAATTGTTCATTAGGGCTGTTTTTATTATGGTAAGTTAAAACTATTGAACCATCTTTTTTTAAATCTTTTTTTAGTCCAGAACAATTTAGTTAACACGCCAAGGGTGTAGATATCTGGGACAGATCAGTAAAAGCAGAAGCGTGTATTCTCAGTATGACTTGACTTTAGTGGTTTCGAACCAAGTAAATAAATGATGTGCAGCTCAACCTCCAACTGCTGTGTGGGAAGCAAACCAGCACATGTTTGCTAACTGGAACAAATAACTAAGTGTTAACTTGAAATTAAAACAGAGTGAAAGGATTAAAACAGAATCATTTGTTGACATATTTTATTGAATTCCAGCTTTGCAAAAGTGGGTTTGCGTGTCATGTTTGGCAGAAACTAAACTCTGAAAGCCTGCTGTGACCTCTGGCTGAAATAGCAGCAACATTTTAGTTTAGACGTCTCTAAACTGTTTAAATACCACAATCAAAATGAACCCAAACATAAAAACAAATATGGAGTCTGAATCTTCTAGGAAACATTATGTGTATTTAGCAGTTTTAGCTTCTGCATGGATTTAAACCTATTTTTATTGGAAGGTGTTTCAGTGTTTGTGTTACTCTACGTAGGATCTGTAAATGTATCTCTGTATCAGTCGCTGTCCCTCTGGACTCCCCACACAGCCGACCCTTTGACGGGACTGGCTGAAGCTCAGGCTAATGAAAGAATTATTATATGGAGGAGGTGAATACGGAACTGTGCTCTGACACACGGCAGAATCAGGAGACACGTGGCGACCCTCAGGCAGGACCTCCGCTGCAGATGAAGAAATATTTCAGGAGAAGGCGCTCGGGGAGACGTGGGTGAGTCAGCAGTGCAGAGCGAGAGTCTGATGAGATGCTAGATCATCCTCAATTACAGAAAACCCCTCATGATGTCACCAAGGAGCCATAAATCCTTCAGGAAATGCGGTACGGTGTTAAGAGCAGTTTAATGAGGTGGTTTGTAAATTGCTTCTAATTAGTTTGATACCCTTGCAACTTATTCTCTAGGGATTACATCGCCCCTGGCATTCTTTAGAATAGCATCCTCTGCATTTTATGCCAGGCTTTTAAACTTCATCTTGTGATGCAAAATAATAGAGTTATGGCCGTTTTGGTGAAATCTCTGTTATCAAAAATAACAGCACCTGCTAAAGATGCACGATACATCGGCATCAACATCAGTATTAGCACAGAATCGTGTATGAGGCAGAGACGCAATGTAGATGCAATATTGACTGAGTTATGGTCATTTTTGTTTACTAGCTGGCTACAGAAGCCAATCAGCTGCACATTTAATGTTTAAGTTCTGAAAGTTTGATTAAAATGTCTTCAGTTTTTTCTGATATTGTGCTAAAACTTTCGTCTGAGCTCAGACACCAGACCGATCCAACAGTTTTTATCCATAACGACGTTTTTTTCCTCCAGCCGGACAGCGGCTGAGACACAGAAACAACAGAAGTACATCTCACCCGGGGAAATGCAATCGCTCATTGTTATAAAGTTATGAGAGAAGCAGCTGCAGCTTGAAGGGAGGCTAGGATCGTGGAGATTTACAAGCAAAGCCTCACTTTGAGATGACTGAGTCTCAGCAGATTGAATGAGTCGATTCAGCATCAGCATGAGGGTAGGCATAGCTGCAACACAGGAACACTGGCTGCAAAATCATCACGTTTGATTTTTATTGGTGTTAGGATGTGCGCACAGGCGTTTGTAATTTCCTGTTGCCATAGCGCCCCTGCTTTTGCCCATGCAAAGCCTGTCCTGAAGGCATGTGTCTACAGACAACTGTCTGATACATTATGTGTCACTGCGATGCGACCAGTAAATGCAGACGGCCAGTTTTAATTTCAGATTATTTAAAAGGGATTACAGTTTTTTTCCCCCCAGATAACCTACTGGCCCATCTGTTTGGCATTTCAGCTCTGACGTATCACTAGTTACATGGGAAACTCTGAGCTCACTATGTTTATAATACACATTGTGAATAAACACACACAGAAGGCTTGACCAAGTCCAAACAAAAGTTCTCTGACACATGAAACTCAAGCCAAATTCCAGAATAACAGGAAGAAAAAACATGGAAGTTTGGAATGACCATAAACCAACATGTCCATGAGACATAAGTGAGAAGAACATCCATTTGTATTATTATAAACCACTTAGCTGTTTGTTTACTGTGGTCTTGCTTGTGTTTTCTTGTAATTAACACAATTTCTGTTTCACAGTCAAACCTTCATCAGATGAGGATCTGGCTCAGAAAAACCTAAAGCCGCTATTTTCTTAACAGCTTTTGGAAGATTTGTAATCTATAAACATAAAAATGCCAATGAATTCAATGACTGGACTCTATGAGTTTAAACAAGTTTGTTAACGGAGTAAAGCATCCTCAGATGACTCTTGTTGTGAAACGGTGCTTCACGAGTGAACCGAGCTAAATTATTGATGATGTTACCGAAGACAGAAGCAGCTCTGGTTCAGCCACAGACGACTGGAACACACTTTAGCATCCAGATTATAAAACAATTCACCACTAGATCTCATTCTAAACAGGTTAGTTCAACGTGCTGGACAAATTGAGATACCTACAAGGGTAGTAAAAAAAACGTAGCAGTGATGTGTAATCTGTGAAGGATTCAGCGTGTTAAATTCAAGCACTAAGACTCAGATAGCTGATCAACAAGCTTTGTTGTGGTTGCAGTTTCGATAAGAAACAGTTTGATCAGAAAACGTACCAGAAGTTTGAGCAGATTCAAATATGTTTGGCTTTTCAGGAACAATGTTTTCACTTAAACATGTCCTGCCTTCATCCTGTGAAGATTTATATAATTAATCTACAACACATTCTTATCACAAACCCATTTCAACAACTTCCAATGAGCTTGCTCGGACAACAAATTTACCACAACAGTTCCTGTTTTCTTCCTTTGTGAAGCTGTGGCTTCCCTCCGTCCAACCCCAGCAGGACCTGACACCTGCTTTTCTGGCGGTTGCTTCAACCTCCAGAACACCCCATCAATTTCAATTAAATGCTTTTGGATGTATTTATTTATTTATTGCTGCATAAATAAACCAAAGCATTTAAATTCTATACACAGGGTTGTTTATTGACACAGTAACAAGCAGATGATACATTCCCCCATTTCCTGAGATGCCATAACTGAAAAATGTTTTCCCTCCTTATCACACATTTCATCTGCTTTGTAGGAAATAGAAACCCAGCTGCAGGGATGAGAGTGGGAGAAACTCGGGGTGGGGGGTGTTAAATCAATAAATAAACTTGCTGTCATAAAAAGAGAAAGTAAAGGGTTTGCGTGCATGTGTAAGATAAATTATATCATTTATGCTTGTAGCAATCTGAAACTGGGTGAATTTATCAAGCTTATCGTTTCCAAAATGTGTCAGACAGGAAACCGGGTGAGCAAACAGCGCTAACTGATAAATCAACGTAGCAGGGCTCAAAAGTTCTGCTCTGTTTCTGCTTGATGGCAACAGCGAACCAGCACAGCTCTCACACACCTGTGACAGGTCACCTCTTTCTGTGTATTTCTCTGTTCTGCAGCAAAGACACACACACCTCCAAATATCATCAGCAGCTACAGTAAAGCCACTTTTAGGCAACTGCATTGGTATCAGTTCCTCGTATCGGTTAACTTTTACCGATACTAGTATCTGCGGTATACACACACACACACACACACACACACACACACACACACACACACACACACACACACACATATATATATATATATATATATATATATATATATATATATATATATATATATATATATATATATATATATATATATATATATACATTAAATAATGAGATAGATAAACTCAATACATAAATAATGAGAAAATCATGATTAAAT